TTTTTACAGACATGATAGCAAAAGTCACAGGGGTGTTTATTTTCAAGGGGTGCTTATTTTCACGATTTTACGGTAATTGGTCGGCTCCCTTATCAGTACTTTTTAATTTTAATAAATTTCATAATCTAATTTAGAAAAATATATTCTATTAAAATTCTGCAATAACTAATATATAAACATATTCTTCTGATTCCAAAAAATTTACAATTTAATAAAAATTTGTTCACTAAATCCATGACGAGTTGTAAATTTTCCAAAAGTTAATAAATTCATTTAAATCCTTAGGAATGACAAATATCCTTTAAATATTTTCGTAAATCACTTGAATAATTAGCACGCTTAAAAAATATTGGAAATTAATCTTAAGCCTAATTAACTATACACTCGCAAACTTATTTCATTGAATAAGAATAAATAAAAAATTGTAACCTTTAGCGTTAGGTTTTTAAAAACAAATAAAGCTTTAATTAAATAGGAAGTCTAGGACGTAGATCTGAAAGATAATATTATTTTTATTAATTTTTTAAAAAAATAAAATAAAGAGCTAACAAAATTCTCTATTAAGACTTACCTACAATCTGATTCCAACCCAAAATATAAAGGTTCTGGACTAATTTTTATAAATGTAGTTAATTTAATTTTTTTTTTAAAAAAAAAGAACAAATTATTTAATTAAAACTTATCTTCATATAAGATACCAAGTGTAATGATCGAAACCATTTTGTTAATTTAATGAAATAATATTAGTATTCATTACAGTCAAACCTGAGTGATAATAATCTAGTTTAATTTGAAGTGCGCATCGCATTAACTTATGTGAACTTATTTTGCTCTTGTTGTGAATTATTAAATTAAACATGAAGTTTCCTAATAAAATTATAACACGTACGTTAAGAAGTACACAAATTTCTGACCCATTAATATTTAATTATAAACAATCCAGAACGTATGAAAAATAATTAAATTGAGCATAAATGTCTAAGAGGAGAACTTCATATTTTCAATTCATTAAAACTAGAATATCAAGCGAATAAGGATAAATTTATGCTTAAATGAAGAAACAATTAAAAAAAGAAGTCTATTCTTTATTTATACAACCATCCGAAACAAGCTGGCAAATTATGTAAGCAAACTTGACTGTTGTTCAAGAATTTGAACTAGGAACAAACCTTATTATCTCGCTAAAATATAACGATAAATATGCAGGCGAAAATATAGTAGTTATGTATTTATTTTTTTCTGTCATCTAGTGTTGGACTATGACTATTCATCGAATCAAGCAGGGATCTATTGTCATAGCATGTTGAAATAATTTTTAACCGGTTAATTAACCGGTTAAGACGTTTATCTTGTTAACCGGTTCCAAATAATTATATTAGCTTTAAAATAACGTAACCTTCAATATGGTGTAATTTATCAACAATATTATCTTTAAATAATAATTTATTAGCTTAACGTTAACCTAGTAGTATTTGTAAAATTTTAATATATATGTTCTAATTTTATTACGACAAATCAATCATTATTGAAAAATAATTTCGTCTTTCTGTTATCTTACACCGATCTTTTCGGGAACGCAGCAATAAACAATTGCATCTTTATATTTTATTTTCTATTTTCTCTTTAGATTCTCGAAATTATCCTTTTTAGCTTTTTAGTAATATTCGAATGAAATTTTTGTTCGAATATTGATTCAACTTTTCTTTTGCCTTTATTGAAATGATTTTTGATAATATTCACTTATTTCTTAAATTCATTTTCGTACAATTTTTAATAAATCAGTAAAAACAAATTATTTTTATTATGTATGTTTAAATAAGAGGAATAATAAGATATAATAAAAATTAATAGGAGATTTAGTCATTTTCAAATCTCAAGTAGAGGTTGACCGGTTAATTTTTAATCGGTTAATTAACCGGGTAAAGAATTTTTTAACCAGTTATTAACGGTTCCAACCTCTAATCTCAAGATATTTTAAAAGGATTTTAGTAAGCTTATTCGAATTCCAAGATTTGTCTTCATTTGCCTTCTTTACAGTTTGACGAATTTTATGGGCATCAGCATAATAAAAACTATTATATATACAATTAAAAACTTAAGATATATAAATAAATTGATTTGAAGTGAAAAAAAGGAAAAGGAGGAAAATAATTACGCGATATCAGGAAACCATGATTTCCAACGTCTTTGATCTGGAGACAGATAAAATAATTCAATTTCTTTAAGAATCTAAATCAAAAAAAAAAGAAATTAAGATAAAATCTTTAATATTTTTAACGGAATATTAAACTTTTTTAACCTCTGCCTTTTGAGCAATATATTGAGCTCGGTCATCATCAGCGTCTATCGCCTTATTCAATAGTCCAATTAACAAATTCATAAGGTATATCACAACTATAAATGAAAATAAAGCCATCAATGTAGCCAAAGGAATATTATCATCAAAAGACCATGCATTTAGTGGATTATTTCCTACCAAGAAAAGTAAATATCCAATTAAATATTAACCATTAGATATTCAAGTATCAAAGAATTCGATAATCATATACCTGTTAAGAATAGATACATCGCAAAAATAGAATTGTAAGAATTTGTAAAATAATTTGTTTGCCCTTCAGGTTCTTTATATAAGGTAAAATTTGAAAGATATTTTGTTCCATTTTGTCCTTCATAAACTTGATGATATTTTTCTGTAATTTTCCAAGGGTTATTGGCATCATTTAAATCTCCCAAATTTGTTTTAGAAAATGGTCCTTTGGGTTTTAATAAAATCATGAATGCATAATAATTATAAGAAATAGAATGATAATAAATGAAAAAATCTTGCGAGCTACGCCAGCCACTAATAATAGCAAAATAAACCCCAAATGATTCAAATACTTTAAAGAAAAGTATGAATTTAATATCAAGTATAAGACATGCAAGTGAGGATATATAAGGTATGGATTCATCATCTCTATTCCTGAGCAAAAGGCTTGTCGTAATTATAGGCAATAAATAAGCACCGAAATCTGTATTTTAAAGTATATATTAACTCATAGTCACATTTTGCACTTATATTAAAGTAATAAACAAAACATACCAATCCAATTCCAAATATTTAGCACCCATTTCTTAAAATCCCAAATAAATTGACGAAACTCAAATAGTATATGTAACAAGCCCAATAATAGAGATGACCACAACCAAATCTGTTGTTTGGAAGATGAATTTTAGGAAATTACAAAACAATTAAGAAAAATCGTATATAATGACCAAATTCCTGCATAATAATATTTTCCGAATGCCATCCATTTAAAATTAACTAAAGATTCGCCATTCCAGGTTTTATAAAATTCAATATCACTTGCTTCTATAAATGGGCTGGGTTGAGGAAATAATAGTTCCCGAAGACAACTATAATCGGAAGGATATGAAATAAAATAGGGGTATGGGATGTAGAATAAAATTGTTGGTTTTACTTTTTTTACACTTTTGAGCGCCCATGAAATATATATTAAAGATATTAATAATATAATTGAAATCAATATTACAGAAATCAATTTCAATGTGTCATAATTATTAAAAGTAGCTTGAATAAAAAAAATTACATAAATGTAGAAAGAAAAGGTAATACATAAGAATGAAAACCAAATGACATATATAAAGGAGTAGGATTAAAAAATGATAAAGCCAACGCAGAATTTAAGTCAAAACCAATAACTGCCTTATTGCATTGAGCACTGACATTGCATATAATATGATATCTATGTTGTATTAGATTAGAATTAAGATTATTATTAATTAAATTAGTAAAACAATAAATACAATACTTTCTGCTTATCTTAAAATTCTATTTATAATTCATAAACATCAAAGAATTGCTACAAACATACCTAGTAATAAATCTTTTAAAAAAAATAGTCTCTTATTACTGCACAAAAAAAAAGATTGTATATAAAAAAAACTTCATTTCCATTATTAAAACAAAAAGATTTAGCAAATGTATATAAAGTTAATAGGATATAGGAATGTTGCTAGTAAAATCACATTACAGATCATATGATTTACTATATTTCATGACTTGAATTTACTGGCAACATTCCCATATGATTAGTGATATTTTAAAAGAAAAGAACTACTGGCTTACTATAAATAATAAATCATATAATTATTTGAAAAGTAAAAAAAAAAACCTTTCCTTTTATTAAGAAAGTTTTAACAATTTAGATAAAAAATGCACTCTAAGTTGGTCTCATTATAACTGATAATATTTTTTTAACTAAGGCTTTAAGGTTTGCTTTTTTGTTAGTAAGAATAAATTTTAAGATTCAAATAAATAGGTAAACAATTTCAAGAAATAACATAACCTATGGTAATATAATATACAAGTTAAAGCTATAAGTATATTACTTGATGATTTTGATACAATACGTAATGAAATATGTAGCATTCTAAAGAATTATAATTCTAATAACTTCTTTAATTATAATAAAATAGGTTTATTTTAGAAGATAAACTCCAGTCATATAATATCAAATAGCTAAGTATTTGGAACTGAAAAATCAAAGAATCATGTAAATATTCTACTTGCCTGTAATGCAATCAGGAGTAAAATATTGACTCCTCTTTTTATATATAAGTATGAAAATTTTCAAATCCTTGATAAATCAAGAGTTTAGACAGATGTCTAAATAGTAAAGGTAAAACTTGATTAAATTATATTAAAATTTTATTAAAAAATCTGCGAAATTCAGAAAAAGGTAAAATTATATTAAAACTTATAAAAATGACAAAATTATATCAAACACTTAGTAAAAATTTAGTGAAACTAAAGGTTTAAACGTTTAGCCAAATCCAAAATGAGTTTAAACAAGTAACTTTAATTTAGTTAAATATTATTAGAATAAAAAAATTGGATAAAAATGTTAATTTAGAATGAATATATTAAGAAACTTAATAACTAAATTATAAAGTAAAATCAAAATATTCTAATAATACCCTAATATATACTCTGAAACTACCCAATTAATAAAAGTGAGAATCATATTTGATTTAAACATTCTTATACTTTATACTTTATACTTTATTTATATTTTAATTCAAATTTAACTTGTTTTAGACACAATATTGAAAGCTTTATCTAAAGAACTAAGTTAAATTTTTTGACAATTTCAAAGATTATCATATCGAATCTGTAGAAATTAATATTAAAAAATATATAAAATATATTTCAAAAGCATGAAATAATGTAATACAAGAGATAATTCAAAATTGTTAATTGAAAGTAGATATTCTACTCAGATGATAATAATGATAATAATAAAAACTCTACTGATATACAACTTGAACTTAAACGTCTAAATTATATTAATTAATAAACTTATTTTAAACAACCCTTTAACTGCTAGAAAATTTGTTTAATATGATAAATCTGAGATTACAGAAGAAATGATATCTGACAAAGAAATTTTAAAAGCAGTTTTACCAAAATCTAATAAACAAAAAAATAATAAGAAGAGGATCCTTTACTAATAATCAATCATAATGAAGCTATTAAAGCTTATGATAAAGTAATTTAACGAAAAGATATTATTGAGTGAAAAATTAGTAGTGATCATTACTAAATTTACTAACTTTTTCGCTTAATTGGGATGTGTGTTATTAGTGATAGTCTAGTTATGATGCATTAGCATTGCGCCAATTACAATTAGCGAATGATGATCCCGTCGATCTTGGATCTAAACTTTCTCTAATTTCTATAATTTCTATCATTTCTCTAATTTCTTAGCGATATTAGCGATCTATAATTTCTTATATATCTTATATATTGTTATCTTACGATACTAACGACTGAAAATTAGTATTAACGCAAGATTAACAAGGGATTTAGCTTTAAGACT